TCAAACCTATGAAGTGATACTAATAAAAAGCAATGTGACATTGGCACAATACAAAACAGGTGAATGTAATAAAATACACTAGACAAGTTCAAAACTAGTCTATACATATGGTAATTTAGTATATAACAAGAGTAGCAGTCTTAGTGTAGAAATCATAAAACTCAATAAATGGTGAAGAGTCAACATCCCCATTTATAGGCATGGAGAGCTGTCCCATTCCTATATCTTACATCCTATAAAAGCAGTTTTCATATGGACTAAGGCATTAAACCTATAAAATATAAAAAGAATAGTTAGTAGTGTTAGGGGTAAGAAAAGCTTTCCTAAAGAAAAATCACCCCCCAAATTGGTAAATTTTATGATATAAATAGGCATCTTTGGTGGCTCAAACTGTAAAGAATCTGCCTGCAGCGTGGGAGACCTAGGTTCGATCCCTGGGTTGGGAAGATCCCCTGGAGAAGGAAATGGCTAGCCACTCCAGTATTCTTGCCTGGAGAATTCCACAGACAGAGGAGCGTGGTGGGCTACATACAGTCCCTGGGACTGCAAAAACTCTGACATGACTGAGCAACTAACACATGATGCAAATATTTTAAATTTCCACAGGGCGCAAGACAGCATGCTGCTAAAAGACAGCACCAGATTGGGATGACACACGCACAGTGTATGTCACAAAAAGACAGCTAGCCATTAGCTGTGCAATGAACTGGAAGACAACGACATGGATGCAAATTCAGAACACATAAAGAACTCCAACCAGGCAAAAGGAATTAGTAATTCAAAGAAAATTCACATGAATAATCAGTAAAGTTAATGGAACATCCCATAACCTCACTACTAGGAGTCAATGCAAATTAAATGGAAAAATGTAATTTTCACCCAAAAGACTGACCAAAAAGAAGAAAGGATTTGTTAGTGATATACTGTTATGGTATTCTTAGAGAGATGGGAATAACAGACCACCTAACCTGCCTCTTGAGAAACCTGTATGCAGGTCAGGAAGCAACAGTTAGAACTGGACATGAGTACATCAAGGTGGTATATTGTCACCCTGCTTATTTAACTTCTATGCAGAGTACAACATGAGAAACACTGGGCTGGATGAAGCACAAGCTGGAATCAAGATTGCCGGGAGAAATATCAATAACCTCAGACATGCAGATGACGCCACCCTTATGGCAGAAAGCAAAGAACTAAAGAGCCTCTTGATTAAAGTGAAAGAGGAAAGTGAAAAAGCTGGCTTAAAGCTCAACATTCATGGCATCTGGTCCCATCACTCCATGGCAAATAGATGGGGAAACAGTGACAGACTTTATTTTGGGGGGCTCCAAAATCACTGCAGATTGTGACTACAGCCATGAAATTAAAAGACACGTGCTCCTTGGAAGGAAAGTTATGACCAACCTAGACAGCATATTAAAAAGCAGAGACATTACTTTGCCAACAATGGTCTGTCTATTCAAAGCTATGGTTTATCCAGTAGTCATGCATGGAAGTGAGAGTTGGACCATAAAGAAAGCTGAGCGCTGAAGCACTGATGCTTTTGAACTGCTGTGTTGGAGAAGACTCTTGAGAGTCCCTTGGACTGCAAGGAGATCAAGCCAGTCCATCCTAAAGGAAATCAGTCCTGAATGTTCATTGGAAGGACTGATGCTGAAGCTGAAACTCCAATACTTTGGCCACCTGATGCAAAGAGCTGACTCATTGGAAAAGACCCTGATGCTGGNAAAACAGAAAAAGAGACTCAGATGTATAGAACAGACTTGTGGACTCTGGGAGAAGGCGAGGGTGGGATGTTTCAAGAGAACAGCATTGAAACATGTATATTATCTAGGGTGAAACAGATCACCAGCCCAGGTTGAATGCATGAGATAAGTGCTCGGACCTGGTGCACTGGGAAGAGCCAAACGGATCGGGTGGAGAGGGAGGTGGGAGGGGGGATCGGGATGGGGAACACATGTAAATCCATGGCTAATTCATGTCAATGTATGACAAAAACCACTGCAATGATGCAAAGTAATTAGCCTTCAACTAATAAAAATAAATGAAAAAAAAATAAAAATAAAAACTACAGAAATAGTCATACAAGTGTACAAAGATATACTATACATACATGTGAACACAAGTATGTAATAATTAAATTATATGGCTCAGTAAATATTACTATATGCTAGGCATGGTTCTAAGAACTTTATGTGTATCGACTCATTTAATTTTCACAATAAGTCTACCTATAGAATCAAGTCTGTTATTATCATCTCCCTCTTGCAGATAAGGAAACTAAGACACAGAGAAGTTAAGTAACTTGCCCAAAGTCACAAAGGTAATAAGCAGCGAAGCAAGAATTCAAATCCAGATGCTCTGACTTCAGCATCTGAACTCTTAACCATTATAAGTTTACTGCTTCCCAAACCAGGATATTCATTTATAATATAATAGCAAAATATTGGGACTAGCCAATTGTCTGTGATCAAATACTGATAAAATAAATTATGATCCATCCACTATGTGGAAAAAGAAATGATGCAGTGCTGGGGTAGGTACAGGCAAGTATTTGTAATACATTAAGCGAAAATAAGTCACAAAAAAGATATTGCATTCTTGCATTCTTTCATTTGTATCTTAAAAATAACTTCTATATATAGGTTGGTATGTATATATATATTGTTCTTTCCTTTAGACCTTTGTTCAAAAAGTTACATATCAAATAGTTAATAATGGTATCTTCTGAGAACAGGATTAGGGGGAGTAAGTGTAAAGGGATTTTCATGATTTACTTTGTATCTTTGTATTGGGCTACTTATTTTATAGTTGGCATGTTCTTACTTTTAAACCAAAAACAACTTGAAGCAAATGAAAAGCAATGAAGTAGAGTAGTATCTACCTAATGGCTAAGAAAAGATAGTGATAAGCCTGATACCACTTGATTTGCATGAGTTAAGTTTCCTATACTCCTGGCCACAGATGGAAAAACCCTAAACCTGGCCAGTTCATTATAATACCATATGATCAGCATTCATCATGGTAACAGTATTCAGCATCATTAATGAAAGTCAAACTGGTTGGATTCAAGCTGCAGCTCCACTGTTTACTAACTGTATGACTTCAAGTAAGTCAACCTATTGTCTCAATTTCCTCATTGTAAAATAGGGATGAGTGTTTGCCCATGTTTCACATTTGTAAAGTCCTTAGAGTATCCTCTGCAAAAACTAATAAATATTCATTTTGTTAGATGAAAAATAAATGATGTTGTCGTTCAGTCACTAAGACATGTCCAACTCTTGGCGACCCCATGGACTGCAGCACGCCAGGCTTCCCTGCCCTTCACTATCTCCTGGAGTTTGCTCAAATTCATGTCCATTGAGTTGGTGATGCCATCTAACCATCTCATCCTCTGCTGCCCTCTTCTCCTTTTGCCTTCAATCTTTCCCAGCATCAGGGTCTTTCCAATGACTTTTAAACAAATAAATAACTTAAGAAAAATCATATACGTTTGAAGGTATGTGTACATCTCCCTACCCAAAGACATTAATAACCTCTCCAAGTTAAACTAAGTGCATCATCTCATATACAGTAAAGGGTGGGTACTATCTCGTTTCCTAAGGCTATACAGACACATGTGTGAATACCTCACCGTAACATAAAACGTGCTTCTCATGGTCAAAGAGCATCAAAGCCAGTGCAGTGGAAGTGTGCTAGCGAGCGGCTCAGAGCTCTGTCCTGTGGCCACACCCCAAGAGCAAACCTCACCACATCAAGCCTCAGATCTTTCATCTTCCAGGCCTGCACAGTAAACACACTGTTTGCAAACCTTAACAGAAACATTCTATTTTAAGACAAATTCAAAACATTTTCTCCTCCTAACATGTCTTTTCTATTGTTCCTAGATTAAACTGTTTTTCACTGGGATGCAATCCCTTCCCTCACACTCTTTCCTTCCTTAGCAAAAGTTCATCTTGATTTTAAGGCACCTTAATCCAAATTCTCACCCTTTGTAGGTTTACTTATAAAGTTTTCTTCTGTCTCTGCATTCGACAGTACAATAGCAAGCACTGAGAAATTACAATGCCCTGCCAAAAGTCAGAATCACCTAGAATAAAAGCATGGTATGTTACTATTAGCCTATTAAAGTCAGGCATTTAGAATTAGGCTTATTTCAGTATTTATATCAACTTTATAGACATATTTTAAACCTACCAGCTCTCAAAATATTTCTCCCAGTATACTGAATCTCTCTTACACACGATTTCTCTCACATCACATCTTACATTTCCAAATAACCTGTTCAAAATGAAGTAGATTATAAAGTCCCAAGAACCCCTGGGAGGGGAAGGAGCAGAATTAACTCAGTCCTTTTCTCATTATCTCTTGAATCTTTTTCATTCTAGAAATATTAACTCACACACCTTGTATAAATTCAACAAAAGAAAGTCAATTAAGAAATTCTCCCCTTCAATGCCCTCATTCAGCTGGTGATGAAATCAGGATCTAGAGAAGTTAAGTAACTTCCTCAGAGTCACATGCTTTGGACTGAAATGATGTCTGAGGGTGAGACTGCTAACATCTTTCCATCTAAGGAACAGTATTAGAAATCGTAACTAACCACATACATTAAAACTATTTAATCGCAAGCAAGTATTACAATCACCAGTCCTAAGAAAAACATACATGTCTTGTCAGTATGTCATCTATACCTTTTCAAAATATTTTGAAATAATTACTTAAGATATTTACTGTTAAGTTCTCATTTTACAAAAAAATGAGCTAATCCCCAAAGTACTATATCCTTGTTACCACATCAAAGCTAAGGATAAAATTCTTTCTTAGTGAATTAACTAGGACTTAACACATAAAATCACATTACCTTCACATTTTAGATATCTGAGTGTTTCTATTAATAGTTTCTCCTGCTATCTTTTAAAGGAAGTAATTTTGAGACAAATAGAAGACATAATAATACTTTCATTAAAATCCAATTTTCTCTTAAGTATCATTCATACCTGTTGTTCATCCTCCATGACGTTACTAGCAAATTCAAATACTAGGTCGTTCTGTTGGACAACAGCAGCCATAATAAAGCATTCCCCTTAGATCCACATGAGAAAAATTCCAAACAGGTCCAAGTACCAGGCAGCAGAGACCAGTGAACAATTTGCGTAAATAAGCCAAGCTAGACCTGTGAAGTTACTGTATACCCAGGTTTTCTTTAAGGAAGGTACTTCAAATTTTCTTGCTTCACTGAGATTTTACTTAAACTGAGGCAATTTTTCTGAAATTTTTCTTCTCTGGAACTTCTTGACCTGAAAAACATAAAGCTTAAGTTAGTTTTGAGAAAGCAATCCTATTATTTAGAATGTAACAGTCAACACAGATGGCAATGTCTCCAAAGTATTTTTTAATGTTTTTAAACAAAAGTAACATGACTGGTGAATTTTTTTTTAAACTAGATATGTATTTTCCTTTAAGATGTCATTCCTGCTAATAAAACGTCACCTCTCATTACTGAAAATGAAGCCATCCTTCCTCCAACTCCCTATCAAACTACAAAGTACCATTAATTAAAAAAAAAAAAATTCCACCCAGCCATAACTAGGTTCTTGTAATTGCAATAAAGGACATATAAACAGCTTCTTTCTGCTAACTTAGCAAACCACACACATAGGAATTGGTACTCCATGAGGAATTTCATAATATATATTTTTTGCCTAAATAGAAACATTCAGACAACATCCTCGTTTGGTCTGATATAAACATTCAGAAAACATCCTTGTTAGGCTTTAAATTCGATCTAATACATTTAAAGTTTAACAAGTACTGTTTTAAGAGCTTTTAAAAATAAGCAGAAATTAAAGCCCACTCTTTCTATTCTTTAGAAAGTTTTATGGTGAGTAGAATGCTTTACCATGCTGGAGTCTGTCTTCAGTGGCTTCTTTTTTAATGCACTGAAACGTACCCTTATCTCTAGCACAGGCTTGCAAGCAACAGGAAGGAAACAGCACTTGACCACGTCATGGCAAATTAGAACATGCAAAGAACTGCACTTTACAATAGAAAAACAGAAGCGCAACTTAAGAGTGAAAACAATTTCACAGTGGAGGGAGAAAAGCTTTACAAAGTGCCTGCAAAGACTTCTGTCTATTTAACTCTTTTTTTTTTTTAAGTTACTACTACTAACTAAAGTCAAAGGAAATTTTAATTTAAATGTTGATCACAATTTTGTTACGCACTGCATCATATGGTTTTAGCCACATATATGACATAAAGAGACAAAGAAATACAAATAATCACATTAGATAACATCTAGTTCTTTGACACAGCATCTACAATTTTAATTTTAAAGAGACAAGTTCAGGAATGAAGCTGATCTCATGAATCACTTTCCTGAAAAGGTAAATCCAGCCAGTGTGTACTAGCTAAATCACACACTCATTTTCCTAATTTCAGTAGTCAGTTTGCTATATATTCCAGATTCTAGGGGTTATCATGGATGACTATGATTTCCCTAACAGGAAATTAAAAATTAAAAAAAAAAAAACAACATTTAACTGTTAAGAACTCAATTCAATTCAGGTGATATTTCTACTCATTAACTTCTTACCCAGCAGTTTCCCATACTCATCTGGTACACTTCTTTTAATAATGAGTTCAACTCTAACACTGGGAAAGTAGTTTTAGCACTACTATTCAGGCAGTTTGAATTTTTAACTGGAGGATAATCGCTTTACAATGCTGTGTAAACATGAATCAGACCTGTGTACACATGTACCCGCCCCCCTCCTTGAGTCAGGTAGTTTTTGACCAATGCACCAAGTCTAGAGGTGGGAAAAGTACTTTGACAGACAGATATACAGAACATACATACAATATTTTCCTTTAAGGTCTCATCTAGTTCTTCTGTACTAGGCTTGTCTTCCCAGGCTGTTCACACAAACCACATTCATTCTTGCCTCCCTTCTCAACTTATAGTATCCTCTACACCTGGAATTCCTCTCCCACGTCTCAGCAGCCATTTCTATGTTCTCCATCCTTCAAAATGCTCAACTCAAGGCCCATTTCTTTCACAACCTCCCAACCTCTGTGACTTGACCCACACGGGCCTTCAAAAATACAACATTTATTGCCCCTACCACAAAATTAGCACTAACTGTATACTGTTTCACACTTGAAAATTATGTCCCCCTAATTCAACTGAATACATGTTTCAGTGTCTATTACTTGCAAAGCAATTGCCAGGCACCATAATAATTAGCGCAAAACTTGCCTGGGTAAGTAACCACTGTCTTTAACATTTCTTCTGTAATTACCAAATCTATGTGCCCATAATAAAAGACAGACATTGATGACAGATAATTGTTTTCTGTCATCAATCTATCATATTTTTACAATCTATCATAGATGTTTAAACTCTATGTATATTCTTTATAAACAATGACTATACTACTTTTGATAATGAGGAAACCAATATTCTAAATTTGATGAACCACAGTAAGAATAACCAGATAACCAGAATCAAGGGATGTTTCCTGATTTTAAAAAAAGTTGTTTTTTTTCTGTAAAAGGTTGGATTCCAAAAGACTAGTCCAAAATCCATTTTTTCTTAAATACAAAAGTAACACTGTTTCAATGACCAACGTGACCATATCTATTAAGTTTCACTTTCTTTTCCACTGCAGTCACAAGCTCTTTCTTACCAGCACTTCCACAGTGCTATTATTCTTTAAAATTTTTTTTTTAATTTCAAAAATAGGGACAAGCAATCAACATATTTACAGATTATAGTACATACTAGCAACCAACAGTAATCAACCAAAACTGAAATGATCGCCCATGATCACTGACTTTGTTAGGGTAGAAAGAGACACCATTATTCTGGTGAGTAGCTTTTGTTCATTTCTCACTTTCGTTCACATCCTGAGAATGCGTAAGTAAAGGAAAGCTCCTGCATTTTTTTATTGGCTTTATTAGGCCTCTGACCCTCCGTCCTCTTTCACCCTATCCCGCTGCTCTTTCTTTTCTCTGAGTATGCTTACAGCCGATGGCACCAAGGCTGTTCTTGGGAAGAGTTTCTGTAATTCCTGATCCAGAGGCACCACCCATACATACTGCTGTGCTGTGCTCAGTCATGTCCAACTCTCTGCAACCCTACGGAGTGTGGACCACCAGGCTCCTCTGTCCTTGGGATTCTTCAGGCAAGTACCCTGGAGTGGGGTGCCATTTCCTACTACAGGGGATCTTCCCAACCCAGGGATTGAATCCACACCTCTTGTGTCTTCTGCACTGGCAGGCAGATTCTTTACTGCTAGCGCCACCTTTTAAGTCTACCCACCCATATTAGACGTACTTAAACAACAGCCTCAGTGAGTTAACATTTTTTCAGGAAGAGATGAGATGAGACACCTATATCGATGATTCAATTTTTCACGAGTGAACTGAGTCTCTGTGCCCAAGGTGTCACAATCTGAAAGCATAACAGAATTACAGCTAGAACCTTCATCTCCTAAATCAGGACTCTGCCCATGACTAAAGTGCACAGTGTCTAAATCTAATCAAATCCTTCACGCTGTAATAGCTTAGAACACAGTTTCTTTCTTTTTTAATGCTTTTTTCTTCTTAGTCATTTATTGAGGCTGTGCTGTGCAGCTTGTGGGATCTTAGCTTCCCGATCAGGGATGGAACCCACGTCCTATGCAGTGGAAACTCTCAGTCCTAACCACTGAACCACCAGGGAATTCCCTAGGACACAGGTTTCTAAGTAAACACATGCATCAAATTAGAAAAAACAGATCTCCATCTCTTGTTTAACTCTTGAGGTCTAAATCTACTCAGTAGATTATCTACTAAATAATAAGTCCATGTCAGAGTCAAAGTGTCTAAAACATTCAAAACTAAGCTTATCATTTTTATTCCTCAAATTTGCTCTAGTATGGAAAAAACATGGGTTCTTAGGATAAAGTAGGGGCCTTCTATCTACTTCAACAAAATCATAAGGTCTTCAGTAAATTTTAAACATGGTTGAATTTACTAACCATTAGTTATATGTATTACATTCAGGGACACTCTGCAGTATTAATAGTTACCAAGCATATTCCGTAACTTTCAAAGCATCAGTTAGTCTTTATAAAATAATAAGTAAAAAGTGAAAACAATTCATTCAACACAAAGACATAAAAGAGTTAACTTATCTGCACAGTTTTGAGAGGTCATCTAGTTAGGAATCCACCAAATAATGAAAATTCCCCAAGCTGGCTCTCATCTCTTTCAAGTTGGGAAGGACCATATTCCTACTCTTCAAGGAGTCACGCCAGAGAAATACCTCATCAGTGAGGTTCCTCAGCTCTTATCGTCAAACTAAGCTTCATATTTAAGGTGAAGCAGTAGCTCAAGCGGAACAGAAGAACACAGGCTCTGGCACCAGACCATTTGGGTTTGAAAATCCTGCACTGTGACTATGGACAAGCTACTTAGTGTCAGTCCCTTCTTCCTGCAAAACAGCTATATAGCCACAGTTTCCTCGTTCTGTAAAATGATCATAACAGCAGCAAAATCTAGATTTTCTATGAAGATGAGACATAAATGTATGTGCAGAAATGCCTGGCATATAAATTTTACTCAATAAAGATTAGCTTCATTATAATCTAAATATGGTGCAAGAGATAATGTAACAGGTGCTTAAGTCTCATATCCACACCCCCTGGGTGTCTCCATTAACACACTTATTTGCGAGACTGCAAAACAATACTGTAGTGCCATATCAACAAAAGTATACTTCTATTCCAGTGTCTAAAAAATCTGGCACCTATTTGATAAATCCAGTTGCTTCAAGGTTGGGACCACACCCTGTCTGGCAAGATTCCCTTAAGACAGAGTTCCATTATGCTCTTAATCCAAACAAAACAAATTTACTGATTGTAAACACAAAACCCACGGCCACATTACTGGCTACTATAACTAACTCAAGTGGTTAATTTTTGTATAACTTATTATAAAAGATTTCAGGTATAATAAACATGATAGTCAAAATCAGTTTTTAATACTTTTTCACATTTGCTTTCTTAATCCCTAATTGAATGCAAATTTAAGCTTCCTTCAAAAGAGCTTTAAACACAAAACTCTATAAACCCATCAATTCATCAATAAAAAAAAAATCACTGCTACTCTGGAAGTTACTAGGGCCACCAACTCACTACTTAACATGAAAACAGATAAAGGGAACTAATTAAACAAAAAAGCAAAAAGTTTTTAGATTAGACAGCTCTGGCCCAAATAAGGGAAAATACACCAGCTTAGAGCAATGGGTGGTTGAATGACTACTTTTAATTTGAATGACTATCTCTAATAAAGCATTCAGACTGTGCGTGTGTGTTCATAAGGTTGGGAATATTTAAGGAAGTGGAATTATGTAGTAACTCCAGATGCCAAGTACTTGAATGGAAAGTATTTTTATATGATGTGGTAACCTAGTAAACTGCCCATTTCAACATATAGACATAGTCATCATAATACTTTGGAAAAACCATGAATCTAGAAGAAATACAATGAAAATTTTAAAAAAGAATGAGAAAAGTGAGAGACAAGAAGCTATGTAAGTTAGAAATGAGAAGCAAGCAGTAAGTCCATAAACTGTAGTGAATGGAATGATTCTATGTAACAGATCATAGTTAGGCCTTTTCAATTTTTTCTAGTATGGTAGAATGCTTTCTATTAGCTCTCAGCAGAAATGAAAATAAGAAATCAGTGGTATCAAGATAAATTCTATACAATCTTCTACAGACCTGTCCATTCTCAATCTAAAAAGTATGGAATCACACACTTTGAGGTGAAAAGAATGTATGGATTACCTAGGAAAATTTATTCACTAAACACTCAAGAGAATCTGGGCCCAGAGCAGTCTGACTTGTCCAAGGTCACACACAGTTGATGGCAAAGAAAGCAACAATTCTCTGCTTTTCTCCAATTCCCAGTCTAACTCTCTACTCAGGCCCCTCTATCTGCATTAACAGAACTTCATTAGTATTTTTCATTAGCAAAGTATCTAGACAAGTAAGAAATCTATTACACAAATATCTGTATCAGTTCAGTTCAGTTACTCAGTCGTGTCCGACTCTTTGCGACCCCATGAACTGCAGCATGGCAGGCCTCCCTGTCCAATGCCAACTCCTGGAGTTCACCCAAAGTCATGTCCATTGAGTCGGTGATGCCATCCAACCATCTCATCCTTTGTCGTCCCCTTCTCCTCTTGCCCCCAACTTCTCCCAGCACCAGGGTCTTTTCAAGAGTCAGCTCTTCGCATCAGGTGGCCAAAGTATCGGAGTTTCAGCTTCATCATCAGTCCTTCCAGTAAACACCCAGAACTGATCTCCTTTAGTATGTACTGGGTGGATCTCCCTGCAGTCCAAGGGACTCTCAAGAGTCTTCTCCAACACCACAGTTCAAAAGCACTAATTCTTCGGTGCTCAGCTTTCTTTATAGTCCAACTCTCATATCCATACATGACCACTGGAAAAACCATAGCCTTGACTAGACGGACCTTTGTTGACAAAGTAGTGTCTCTGCTTTTCAATATGCTGTCTAGGTTGGTCATAACTTTCCTCCCAAGGAGTAAGTGTCTTTTAATTTCATGGCTGCAATCACCATCTGCAGTGATTTTGGAGCCCAGAAAAATAAAGTCAACCACTGTTTCCACTGTTTCCCCATCTATTTGCCATGAGGTGATGGAACCAGATGCCATGATCTTTGTTTTCTGAATGCTAAGCTTTAAGCCAACTTTTTCACTCTCTTCTTTCACTTTCATCAAGAGGCTTTTTAGTTCTTCTTCACTTTCTGCCATAAGGGTGGTGTCATCTGCTTATCTGAGGTTATTGATATTTCTCCCGGCAATCTTGATTCCAGCTTGTGCTTCTTCTAGCCCAGCTTTTCTCATGATGTACTCTGCATATAAGTTAAATAAGCAGGGTGACAATATACAGCCTTGACGTACTCCTTTTCGTATTTGGAACCAGTCTGTTGTTCCATGTCCAGTTCTAACTGTTGCTTCCTGACCTGCATACAGGTTTCTCAAGAGGCAGGTCAGGTGGTCTGGTATTCCCATCTCTTGAAGAATTTTCCACAGTTTATTGTGATCCACACAGTCAAAGGCTGATCCACATAGTCAATAAAGCAGAAATAGATCTGTATATTATCTGTAGAAAAATATCTGTATAGTATAATACAGTTTTTATACTATTCTGTGCAACCACTCTGATACCTGGAAAATTATTTTCAGTAATATTTTTACAATGAATAACTGAAGCAGAGGAGTTTCTAGATCTATTATTGTTTTAAATCTTACAATTTTACTTTAGTTGTTCTTTCCCAAGTTCTACTCCTACTATCCTGCTTTACCTTCACTCAGCCTAAAGTGAAAAGGAAACATTATTAAGCCTTTTTACAAAGCTACCACAACTTAGTAGGTCATTAAAATACTTCAAACTTTAATTGACATTTTTCTTGCTAGTTCTTTGAATACAATACTGCTATCACAACTAAAATACCATAGATAAGAAAAAATTACTACAACTTACCAAATGTAGTTACAGTTAAGTAACCAGTTAATGCTTCCCAAAGCAAGGGTAGTCTCTAAGTTCCTACTGAATGAGGAAACAAACAAACCAAAGACCCCAGTTGTAGAATAAATCTCATTACACCGTCCTCTCTAAACCAAGCACCCAGATTCAATCCCTGGGTCAGGAAGATGCCCTGGAGAAGAGAATGGTTACACCCCAGTATTCCTGCCTGGAGAATTCCATGGACAGAGGAGCCTGGTGGGCTGTACAGTCCACGCGGGCACAAAGAGTCGGACACGAATGAGCAGCATAAACAAGATAGCGGAGGAAAAACTACAAGTGAACGTCACAAGAGGAGCAAGTCATTCCCAACCACATGCATGGTTCTCTGAAATCAAAGAGAAAATGTTCCTATACTCCAACCTTTAAATTACTTCAAATATTCAAGAATTTAAGAAAACAAAAAAACGTTCAAAAGGGCTACAGTCCACAGGCTCACGGACAGTTGGGATATGATTTAGCGACTAAACAATAATCTTTTAAGTAGCTCCCCAACTTTAGGCGTCTTTCATTGAAAGTGAGGGGAGGCAGGGGAAGTGAAGTACCTAC